CATCCATCCATCCATCCATCCATCCATCCATCCATCCATCCATCCATTATCTTTTACCCGCTTCTTTCTTTTAGGTCACAGAGGTCACTGGAGCCCTGCTCTGTTGTCTGAAATCTACCTTAAAAACTATTCATAAGGACCTCTTGAAATATATTTTTAAGACAAAACAGACTTAAAGTTGCGTTTTTCTTGCAATTAAATTAAATTGTGGCAGAAAAACAAATAAAAATAATAAATAAATAAAAAACACGACAGAACTACAGAAAGTGGAGGCCAGAGAACCATGTTGGGCTAAAACAAAACTTAACACACTTTATTATTCAAATTAATAAATAAGAAGAACTGCTCACACAAAAAGGAGCCTAATTTTACATATTGAAAATTAAACTATTTACAATATTTGTGTATACGCTTCAGAAATACAATATATTTGACCTTGTAAGCTGAATCTTCATCACGCTTGCTTCATCAACCTGAGCTTTCAAATAGAAATGATCTTTGAACTCACTCGTACGTCACTTAATCAAATAAGATGAAGTAAAGACAATAAAAAATTCACATGCATCTGCTTACCCAAGCCCATTTGCACACAACACGTGTGTGTGTGTGGGTGTGTGTGTGTGTGCTATGTTGGACCAAGCTGGTGGCTGTCCACCAAGAACACGTCATGATGATCAATGGCTGGTCAGAAGCTCTGGGGGTGAACTTGGTGGCAAAGATTTGGCAGTGGTATATGTCTCTATGGCCCTCTCTCCTGCTTCTTGTCCTCCATCAGTGCTGTTGCTTGGTTATGCTTTAACAGACTGGACACACACTCCACCAACAAGACCTGAGGTCAGAATGTTAGAAAACATGACATATAGTCTGTTTTTGGGAGAGTTGAGTCAAGAAAAGACAAGTTTAACAGTGGTTTGTAAATGGCGGCTCTCAGGTGGCGTTCTGTGCAGCTGTCCCACCAACACACCGTCCTGAGACACATAAGGATGTGGAGCGGTGCATCCTCTCTGGTATACAAATTTATCTGAAGTCTGTCCACAATCTGAACCCTGCCTACTCCTGGTTTGTTAATATAAAACTGGATAGTTTCACTCAAGAGCCTGTTCTCCTCTCCCAGTTAAAGGGACGGTTCTGTGTTGGTCTCTGCAAAACAGATTGACTTAAAATCTGATGAAAAGTCAGGCGATATAAAAAAGTTGCTTTCACTTTTAGAAAATGACAATAATACATTTTCTCAATAAGTTTGCATCAGCTTGTTACTTTGCCATCTAATGCTTCAGATGTTACTTTTAGAAAACACTATTTCTCATGGATCGTTACTGGTAACGTACCACAGACGAAGATATTGGTCTTCAATGGATATAAAGAATCAAAAACTTTTCAGTTATCAACCTAAGGAAAATGTGATAACGGTGTGAAGTTGTATAAACTGCATGAACTGTCATGAAGTTTTTGAGAATGGAGTTATTTTATAGGACGATATAAACTACATCTGATGCTTTCAGTAATTTTTACTTCACAAAAGATAAAAACTCTAAAAAAATAAAAATAAATCAAAAATCAGAACTATCCCTTTGATGTGAACTGACTGAGCTGCACCACGTCCAGGAACACATTTTACACATTTTACTGACATTAAAGGGACGGAGCCCAACAGAAAGCTACAAGTCTTGTTGTTGATGGGGAGTCCACTCACCCCTCCTCCAATAACTTTATTACAAATTAAAATAAGACTGCCTGTATGAGTGCAATTGCTCTTTCTTTGACCATACAGTGAGTATATATTACAGAAGTAATTTTTTGTTCAGATCTTTTATTATTTTTCCATATAAAAATTCAAACTAAATCTCTGAGAATCATTTCCTGCATCCACTCCCTTCAGTGCTGTGTTCCTCTCTAAATTATGAAAGCTCTGGTGAGGGGAGACATATTTATGTAACACACAGTTGCTCCAGTATGTATGATTTTAATGGGATTCTTTTAGTGGAAAACACGTGAAATGCTACAAAGGTTTTTACTGATGTAAACTTTTATGAAACAACACATTTTTCTTTCCTAATCTAGTACAGAAACACCTTATTTTTCACATTTCCCCCCTTTTTTAAAAACAGAAGTACAAATATTTATTGATTTATAATAGAGAAATTCAAAAACAATTAGGACTTTTGGAAACTTAAATTGGTGATTTAAGAAACTCACCTTTGGGCATCCTCTGGGAACTTGACTAACCAGCAGAAGAAATGGCATTACTATTTATACTCAGCTGCTGCACGCATATATTTATTTTTCATCAGCTTCCCTCGGTGTTGTAACTTATTTAACACGGCTAAATGCCTTCAGACTAGTTCAGAGTCTGCTCAAGCTTTGTTTATGGGTACAGTATTTTTTGGTGCACTTTTTTTCTTGTGCTGTTTTCAATTTCTGTGTTTACCTGTTATCAGAAAAATCAAAGCGTTATCATCTGTGTTCTCCTGGCCAAATCAGACGCAGAGTGCTGAAGATCTCAGATGGAATTGAGCACATGGGAGGGGTGCGCTGGGAGCTGGCCATGTGTCTGGCTCTGGCCTGGTTCATCTGCTACTTCTGCATCTGGAAGGGACCCAAGTCAACTGGCAAGGTAAGACCAGGCAGTGCACGCTTACTGTTGTGTGTGTGAAGTTTTGTTCATCAGAATGAGCCGCAAACGGAATCGTCATATCATTTTATATTTGTGTAAAAATTCAGTATTAGTGATTTATTTATGAATGTAGTATGTGGACAGATTTAATGAATTTTAAATGATAATTCAGTTTTAATGTTTGTGTAAATTACTAATTGCACCTGATGTTAATGTTTGAACGATCAGATGGAGAAACAGAGTTTAGTCCAGTCGAAGCTTAGACTAAAGTGGATTGCTGCAATTTTAAAACAACTCCAATCTTTAAAAACTTAGCAGGTCAGATGAATGCTAATTTATAAAACTATACACATTACATTTTTTTTTTTTTTTACACACAAGTCCAAATGACTGCAGCAGCTAGCTGTAGCACTTCAAGTGCAGCCTGAGGCGCTTGTAGCAGAAATATTCAGAATCAGAATCGGAATAAGATTTATTATCGTTGTACTGGGATACAGTGAGATTATGTTCGTACAGTCATCCGAAAGATGAGCGGAGCGCACGTTGCTGCTGCTGCTACAAGAGTGCGACCTCTTAATCTTTATCAGAATTCTTTAAAGATAGAAAAAGGTAAAAAAATCATGAGGATGGATAATATTACAAAAAAGATCCCTTCACACCTTCTCCTATCAGGACACGATTTAAGTCAATATATATATATATATATATATATATATATATATATGTATGTATGTATAAGTAATAAAACACTGATTATTCTTTGTATCGATTTAGTAGAGTGCTGTATGGATGAGAAAGTGAGGACACATATTGTGTTGTAAAGCACTTTGAGTATCTTGATAATATAAGCGCAGTGCACATAATAAAATAGTTTTCACATAAACTGCACTGAAATCCACTTTGCTCTTGTTCCCACCCAAACTAACCATTAACTCGTCAATCAAGTCAGAACTAAAGGGTTTTTTTCAAAGCTGAGGTCATTAAAGGAGCTTTGAACAACTGGTGAGATATTATTTCTTCTCAACATTTCTACAGAACTAAAAAAAAAAGTAAAACCATCCCTTAAAATGAAAAGAAATAAATCTTATTTAGTCCTTAAAACTACTCTCACAGGAAGCCACGTGAATATTCATGTTCAAACACATAACAAGAGACGTCTGTATACTTCT